GAGGCTCGCCACAACTAGAGAAAAAGCCCGTGTGCAGCAACGAAGACCCAACGCAGCCAAAACTAAAATTAATTAATTAATAAAGTGAGGATCATATTGGTAACCCTTTTGAGCATTTACCAGGGTGGGCCCAGTTCTAGGTGTTTCACATGATTGATATGGTAATCTCCCAATAACCTGCAAGGTAGGTATTTATTATTATTATTATTATTATTATTCCCTCTTAACAGGGGTTAAATGACTTGCCCCAAATCACTTGGCTGGCAAACAGCAGAGCTGTGACTGCCACCCAGAGCCAGCAAGCTGCATACAACTCTACAGGGGTCAGTAAGAACCTAAGAGGGCCTATCGAGACGATTAAGTAAGATCAAGGGCTAAATGCAGGCTTGCACACAGTAAGTGCTCAATAGATGTTAGTTAATAAGAGAAATACCACCATAATCATCACTCTCACCATCACCATTACTGAAAATTCTCAAGGGACTGTCCTCTCTAACCCGGTGGTCCTCAACGTGTAGTCCCAGACCAGCAACACCAGTGTCACCTGGGACTCGTTGGAAATGCAGATTCCTCGGCTCCACCCCAGACCCCGTGAGTCGGAAACACGTGGGGTGGGACCCGGAACCGTTTGAACAGCCCTCTGGGGGATTCTGATGTGTGCACGAGTGTGAGAATTTATCCAGCCACCGAGGGAGACAGGACAGATAAGAAAACTGAGGTTCAGAGCAGGGAGAAAGGCTTGTCCACCATCGCACGACCGGTAAATGCCACAGCTGGGGCTTCAGTCTGCATCTCCTGACCCAGACTTCGTTCGTAGGCTACACCCTGCTGCTTCTCCTGCCTGCAGCTCACCACAAAGTACGGGCTCTGCCAGCTAATGCACTCCGGGGGAGCAGGCAGGAACTGCAGGCACTGTTCGGCCCTTCGAAGGTCTGGACACGACTCTCCCAAGATAAATCTCTCAGCTAAACAGACATTTTCCAAAAAGGCATCCTCATTTCCCAGAATACAGAGTGACCTAGAAACCAAGGCCAGAAAAGAACCTCTGACATGGAGGTGGCTTTCTCTTTCTCCCCTTTCTTCCTTCCTTCTTTTATTCTCCGAAGAGCTGTTTAAGCACTGACTGCTGCAGTATTTTTGCTGATTTATTCTTTCAACAAACGTGAATAGAAGTTATTGGGTGCCAAGCACAGTGCTTCTAAAATCTCAAAACCCTAGAGAAGAAGAGACTGTAGGCAGGTTTTCACCAACAGGCCTGTTCACACCTGTGTATTTATGAGTGTGCGTGCATTCAAACAAGGCAGAACAGGGAAGGGAAAGAACAGACCCTAAGGCAAGATACGCCCTCATTTGCATCTCGCCTTTGCCATGTACTAGCTGCGTGATTCGGGGCAGGTTATTCTGAGCCTCACTTTCCTTCTCTGTGACAATACCTAGAGATCTTTAAGAGCCTAAAATACAGTAAAAAGTAGCCTTATAATATTACTAAATTTTCATCAAGTTCTCCTTGTATTTCTAAAATTTTTTTCTTTTTCTCTTTTCTTTTTCTTCTTTTTTTCTTTATACGTTTAGCTGCCACACTGTTTGGAGCATACAGATTTGATTTTCACATCTTCATAAATTATACCTTTTGCACCACTGCGTAACGAACTGTCTCGTCCCATTCAGTATGTTTAACTTTAAATTCCACTTCCTCCAATAGCAATATTGCCACTCCTGCTTTATCTATTTGTTTCTTTGTATTTGGCTGGAATCATTTTGCTCATCCCTTTACGCTTCAAGCACTTGAAAATCGAAGACGCTGTCTTTTAGTAAGCAGATCTGGGCTCAAACATTTACTATAACCATTGATATACATTATTTTACTCTTTCGTTAAACTTTTAGAACTCAATTTTGAATTAGCAGCTTTCAAGGAGAAAAAAAGACTCATTTAATCGGGAAAGAAAAAAAGATGGGAGTGGGGGGCAGGTAGCCACGAAGGTTGGTTTGACTTGGCAGAACTCAGTGAGCTCACATTTACAGGAATCCAGAATAAATGAAGGCAGATGGGGGCGGGGGGAGGTGATGGTCGTGGGTAAGGGAGAACGGTAAAAATGAAGGCTGAGTAGAAATGTCAGCTGGGGATGAGCGATGCTGATCTCATCATGAACTTTTAAACCTAGAAGATTTCCTGGACTAGAAAATCCCAGCTCTGGCTCATTCTACGGAGAGATAAACAACTTGGCAAGATGATCAAATAGTCTGTTGGGCAGAACTGTGACCACAGTCACATCTTCTGGATCACCATGTCCCTAAAGCCTGGACCACCGGGGGGAGAAGGCTACTTTTTGTAGGACTCACTTCAGAAAAATCAGCCTATATGCAAACTAAATTATTATATATGGGACGGATAAACAACAAGGTCCCACGGTGTAGCACAGGGAACTATATTCAATATCCTGTGAGAAACCATAATGGAAAAGAATATGAAAATACATATGTGTAACTGAGTCACTCTGCTGTACAGCAGAAATTGACACAACACTGTACCTCAACTATACTCCAATAAAATTTTTTAAAAAGGAAAAGAAAAAGAAAAATCAGGCTAAAGCTTCCTTGCTAAAGTTAGGAGGGAAAAATGGAAGAACAGACTCCAATATAATAAGAGTGGTTATTAACAAGTAGTAAATTGGAGGGAGCTTGTATTTTCTTCCGTGTGCTTTTAGCTCCGTGTGTACACAGCCACAGAGAAATGCAGTGAGTACAGTGGATGAATAGCTTACAAATGCATCAGGAGAGCCAGAAAGTTTGTTAAATATCTGGGGGAATGAAGTGTGTGATGCATGGAAGCCTTCACATGAAAAAAGCATGTCAGTAGAGAAGCAGAATTCCGTTCACCAAACTCTGAAGCCATCTGTGTAAGAGGAGGTACACCTGTGTCTGTACTCATTAGCACACATTGGCGGAAGTTCAAATATTTCTGTAAATGGAGAAACTAGGGCAATGGTAGCAAAAATGAGTGATCTAAATTTAGCTAGAGGCACAGGAATGGGATCTCAAGTTTCTGATGTCCAGACCTTGGAATGTGGCTTCTGTGGGGTGGCAGCTGAAAAGGCCAGAATACTCACGTCTGCATAGATGTTGGTTCCAAGCACGGGAGCCCAGTAGGATGGCTCATCTTTGCAGTGCGCCGGACAATGAACTCTGGAAAACAAGAAGCACTTAGGTGATGGTTATAATCAGCAGAAAACAAAATCTCTTGAGAAAAGCAGCTGGCCCTCTTTATTTGAACATCAAGATTTAAGTACTTGGGTGAAAGGCAACTACCACACGGTTTACTCTTTAAGAAAAAAATATGCCTCTCCTACCCTAGCAGTGATAAAGATATTCTTCCTTAAAAGTGCACATAGAATTTTAAAACCCCATATGGGGAGGCATAAACTGGGAGACTGGGATTGACATATATACACTACTATATGTAAAATAGATAACTAATAAGGATCTACTGTATAGCACAGTGAACTCTACTCAATACTCTGTGATGGCCTATATGGAATAGAATCTAAAAAAGAGTGCATATATATATATATATATATATATATATATACACATATATATGTATAACTGATTCACTTAGCTGTACACCTGAAACTAACACAACACTGTAAATCAACTATACTCCAATAAATTTTTTTTAAATAAATAAATAATTTTTTTTAAAAGCTGTAACTAAAATGAAAGGAATTAAAGGTTTTTGGGTCATTTGCTGATTACTTGATTACTTTAATCATTACTTGATTAAAATTGCTGGTTTACTCAGTGTACCTTAGTAATGCATGCTTTCTGTTTCTTTTTTCTGACCAATCACTTATTCATAAAATGGAATCTCTTTATGGGAAAGAAAAGCCATACAACAAGACATGTACAAACAGCAAGGTGAAAGGAAATAAAAATCTAAGAGAGGGGAGTATGGGATTGTAAGGGGTTGTTCCTCCCATTCTTGGATGTTGGCTGGTTCATACTGTGGCTACGTTATGGAGATTACAATCAATACATTTTTGGAAAGTCCGCTTCCCTGTGCAGGGGAGGAAAGGGTGGAGGCCTTCACCTCTGTGAGTCACAGAATATTCCAGGCAGGGGGCACTGATAACCCGGGGCAGAAAGGGTTGGCTCACCGCTGCGTCAGTCGGCACATCCCTGCCATAGGGGATGAGGAGAGTGCCTCAAACTGGAATCTCTCACACCAGGAGAGAGCATGAGCTTTACTTAAACAAAGGTCTTTTGTCTTTATCCGGAACAGGTGCACCATGGGCTGGAGCCCAGGGACCAAGGAACCAAAACGACAGCCGGAAGCCCTCTGGCTTGTGAGTAGCAAAGGGGAGGATTCAGGAACCCCATCTGGTCCCCTCTCTGGCCCCATCCCGGGGCTCTTCCCTGCTCACACCTCGGGGTTCTCCACCTGTTAGATTTTTGTTTTGTTTTTGTTTTTGTTTTGGCCATGCCGCACAGCTTGTGGAATCTCAGAGCTACATAACCCAGCTTCCGACAGGATCTAACAGGCACTTTGGAGATGCCCCTTCTTTTGTTCTGATGCACCATCCTCCCAAAACTCAGCCAAATAAGGTTTGGGCAGATGCATGTAAAACCCACTCCTTAGACAAACTGCGGTACATCCACAGAATGGAACGCCCGCCACTCGGCAACATGAAAGGATAAACAAATCACCGATTCACTCCACAACACAGATGAATCGCAAAGCACGGTGCACAGGGGAAGAAGCCAGATACACAAGTCTCCGTGCTGTGACGGCTCCATGTATATGAGATTCCAGAAAAGGCACGATTATAGGGACAGAAAGGAGGTCAGTGGTTGGCAGGGATATGGGTGGGAGTTGGAGGGAGGGGGGCGGACTACAAGAGAACTTGCTGGGGTGATGAAAATGTTCTCTGCCTGGATCCTGGTGTACAATTTGTCAAACCACATCGAACTGTATACTTTTCATAGGTGGATTTTGTTGTGTGTAAATTATACCTCCAAAAAGCTGAGTTTTAACAAGCTAGTTCTAAAGTGACCCATAAAAGCATAACAGATCAACTGCAAGAATCAAAGAGCTGATTCCAAGGGGACCAGTGGCACCCAGCTTCCAGAGTTCTCGACTGATCTAAGAGGCCAAGAATGACAGGTCCCAAGGTCTGTCTGGGGGCTTGGGAAGAGCTTGGTGGCAAATGAAGTCAAATACTGTCTCCTTCAAGTGGAGGTGACATCGAGAAGGGCAAAGTCATCTTTTCAGTTAAGTTCCCAGAGCGGGGCCCTGGGGCCTGGCTACACACGGGGCTCACCCAGAAGCGGCTAAAGATGTGGATGTCCTGCTGGGCCACGCCCGGAGACTGGGATTTGTTCTTTTAATGCCTCTCAGGGAATTCCAATGTGCAGCCAGGGTTGAGAACGAGTGGTCTCAGGGAGAGGTCAAGTGGGTCCTTGACTCGGAGCACAAAGTGACTGACTTCCTGTGTGGACACACACCAGGGCCACGTCTAGAGCTTAGCTGTGCGTGGCTCCGGGCAGTGACCCGCAACCCAACCTGGCACTTCTTCTCTCGGCCTCCATGTTTGCCAGTCCAGATGCCAGGGAGCCTTACCTTGGGCAGTGGGTCCCCGGCTTCTCATATGGGCAGAGCTGGGCCACGGTGGTGTAGCAGTCCAGGTCCTGCACTGTGAATAGGAACACGTAGGGGAAGGGTCAGGTCACGGGCAAGCCTGGGCCTCAGGCTACTGGCCTGTGAAACAGGCTGCTGGACAACGGGTCCTAGGGGTTCCTTGGGCCCCCGAACCGGGATGAGAGCTGGGATGAGGCCCAGCAGGTGTCAGGCCCCAATGCTCCTGGCGCCTCCCCCAGGGGCACTCTAGGGATGAGATAAAACCCAAGGCCCAAGCGTTTTTACAGGTCAAAGGTGTCATCCCCTTAAACAGTTTCTCTGTGGGGCGAGCAAACTTTTCATTTGCGTCGTGCTTTTCCACCTGGAGCCTCATGGCGGGTATTACACTAATTATACAGATGGGGAAGCTGAGGTCCAGAAAAGCTAAGAGACCTCCTGAGGCTGCACAGGACATGGTTGAGGGTCCAGGTTTCTGATTCCAAGCCTAGAGCTCTTTGCTCACACCCTTCCCAAGGGGCAGGTGACTCTTTCCTTCAAGGTCACATGTCGTGTTTTAACAACAGATGTAAGAAAGCGGTTCTAATACTGGCCACCTGTAGTCTCTGACAGCCTGTCCTTGTCCAGTCCCGGGCTCGGTAAACGCTTCCTTAAAGAGCGAGAGAGTAAATATTTCCAGCTCTGTGGGCCCCATGGTCTGTGTTATAACCACCCAGCTCTGCCATCGTTAGCAGGAACCAGCCACAGACAACGTGCAAAGGAATGGGTGCGGTCAGGTGCCACTAAAACTTTATTTACAAAACGGTCAGCAGACAGGATCTGGCCTTGAGGGTCGTAGTTTGCCCGCTCTTGGTCCAGCCGATCACTTGGATGGGCCAGGGGTCTATGCAGCAATCCAACAAGGGGACTGGTTTACTACACCAAGGGTCTGCTATACAATGGGATGCTGGGGAAATCATTAAAATGAGGTTTAGAAGTCCACTTAAAGGTACAGAAGACTATTCTTGATATATTATTATTTGCGTACATTACCAATGTATATACTCTTAATGCAGAGGGAAAAGAAACACTACAGATATCCACCAAAATGTTCAGAGCAGTTATCTCTGAATGGTGGAATTTAGGTCTTTTTTTCTTTTTCTTCAACAATTCTCTGTATTTTTAAATTATCTGGAATAAACAGGCATTACTTTTGTAATAGGGGGAAAAGCTGCTATATGTTTTGTTCTGTTTTGTTCTGTTTTGTTTTTTTGCGGTACGAGGGCCTCTCACTGTTGTGGCCTTTCCCGTTGTGGAGCACAGGCTCTGGACATGCAGGCTCAGTGGCCATGGCTCACAGGCCCAGCCGCTCCGTGGCATGTGTGATCTTCCCGGACCGGGGCACGAACCCGTGTCCCCTGCATTGGCAGGCGGCCTCTCAACCACTGCGCCACCAGGGAAGGCCCTGCTATATGTTTTTATAAAGATATCTAACCAGATATTCTTGTATCCAGGGCAAATGACAAGAATTGGTTTCCCAAAAGAAGAAAGGGTCAGTGGGCAAGGTTCAAGGAGAGGGTCCAGGGGAGGGTGCTGGGTGGGACACCCTGGCATCCCCGCCTGCCTGAGACTATTCCAGTCAAGTGCCCGGTCTGGGCAACTATAATCCAGACCCCAGTTCTGGTTACAGCGTGCTCTCCCGTGGATGCATGCCACCCTGCCAAATGAACATCCCGGAGGCCATACAAAAAACTGGGCCAGAGAGAGCAAGTATGGGCCATGAACTTCCCCATGTTTCCCTCTCTTGTCCATGGCAGACATTACTAATCTATCAAGCTCCGTGCTCTGCTGAGCCCAGAATGAGGCCTCAGAATCCTTCTCAAAACAACGCTCCAGGTAGCCACTATCACTCACTAGAAATTGATACTCCCTATGCAACCTATTAGCTACTCTAGACCCAGGCATTAGTACTTCTGTGACAGTCAGCTGGGAACCCATGCCTGTGTTTCAGGTTAGCTATCTAGGTCCATTGCCAAGTTCAGATTTTTTTTTTTCACCGTGCCCCACGGTTTGAGGGATCTTAATTCCCAAACCAGAGATTGAACCTGGGCCACAGCAGTGAAAGCGCCAAGTGCTAACCACTGGACTGCCGGGGAACTCCCCCTAAGTTATGATATTTAAAAAAAATTAGTTAAAGAATCGACCTCCTCAGGAACCTCTTAAACATCTTTACAATGCTGAGAACAGCAACATTAGCAGACATGGTAAACATTAAATCAATAACTAAGAGGAATGAAATTCCAGGGAAACCCAAGATAACCTGTGTATTGCGGTCATATGAGAAAAGACTGGCCAGCTTACCTTTTACTTTTGACACCGTGAACGAGCTGGAGGCCTTGTATTTGCTGTAAAAGGAATCATTAGGTAAATGCAAACAGAAACGCGTCTAAAAGTACACGCTTGTTCCTGCACTTATTTTATTTACGGCCTCAAGTTTACATTTTCCTACTTGTTTCCCATCAGCCTGAAAGCCCTTGGGACATTCTAGAGCAGGATCTAGAATGAGAACATTCTAGAGCAGGGCTCGTTAATCTTCTTGGTGCCAAGGATCCCTCTAGCAGCCTGGTACAGCCTACGGACACCTTCTCAGAACAATGATTTTAAAATGCAATGATAAATTGAAAAGATTAGAAGGAAATCAGGTATCATTAATATCATCATCAAAGTATTAAAACAAATCTGTGTTAGCGTAATAGCTGTGCATCTTTATTAACGTATTGAAAACAGAGTCTAGCGGCAGGTCTTCTAACTACTGTCATTTGGGGATCATGACAGCGGAGACTGTTGCAAGGTATCTCCATCACGTGGATTCCTACCCGTGAGAAAGTCGCTGGCCCTATGAGTGCTACTCAGATTGGGGGCTAACACCCATCACGGAAGAAAATACCACATTTCAATTAGAGGTGAGTGAAACTAAAGCTTTAATTTGCTTTGCGTTCACAGACTCCCCGACTCTAATTCTAAGACGTGAAGAGCCCCACTCTAGATGTAAAGTTGGCCATTGGAAGGGACCAGAAATGGATTCAGGACAAGGGTCCCAGGCAATGCAGGACCTGAACCCTTGGTCAAGCCCACAGCTCCATCGGCGGCGGGGCTGAGCTTCGTCAAGGCTGGGGTTGAGGTCACCCAACCGATCTCTCCATGAATATTTTCTTTGCTTTCGTTTAAACTTCCTTGCTCTTTTTTTGTTTACATAAAATCCCCAGCTAAGACAGAAGAAGGAACATTGCAACACTGCCCGAAGAACCAGGCCTTTCCAAACAGAATGACTCACGTAGTTTTTGAAATGTTCTGAGTGGCCTCACTATTTGGAAGGGCCATGGACATGCCACCTTGTAACTATCACAGGAGCGT